GAAAAACTAGAGTCATTTATAGCTAAATGGATACATATCGAGGCCATACTCTTAAGTGAAATAAATAGGACACACGTGTAAATATTGAATAGTTTCTCTAGTGTGAGAAACTGATAGTGTAAACAAGGGTTAAAATGATGAAAATGAATAATTGAAAGTTTGAAATAGGAAAAAAGGTCCAAAAATGAAGGAGTGAAGGGAGGGGAAGGGGAAAGGAAAAGAGGGAAAGGAAAAACTATGAGAAAAGAAAAAAAATGGAAATGAAATCTATGTAAGTAGGGTAGGGTGGAGGGGGTGAAGGGCACACAGGTAATGGGGAAAAAAATAAGAACCCAGATATATCATGTACAGGGACAAACACTCAAGATAAATGTAAATGAATTGTACACCTAAAATGTACCAATAAAATTAATTAAAAAAAAAAAAGACAAAATTATCTCTCTGTGGAACAGGTTACATCTCTAATTCCCTAACCTTGATGGCACAGGACCCTTATGGGGGTTCTTAGACTCTCCCTCTGTAAGGTCTCCTTCCAATATATATGGTACTATGATGAAAAAGAAGAGAACAAAGGAATAGGGCCTACAAATATCTCAATCTCTTTCATTCTTCGTTTTGGGAAAAAAAAATACCATAGCTATTTGAAAACATTCAATCTATGTTAAAAATAAAAGACTCCAATCATCACACCTGGAGTTATCACTCTCCCAGCATTTGGGCTTCGTACTCAGTGAGACAGGCCATTACTTCGTCTTCATGTTTTCTCTTTTCCCTCTCATCTCCTGAAACATTACATGTCCAGCCCCCGATGATCACACCATGAAGACTTCCCCTCTATACACAGATGACTGACTTTCTGGAACCAAGCCTTCCTCCATGAGCCCACGGGCACCCTGGGATCCAGCATCTCCCTCACCTTTAAGATTGCCTGGCTACAGAGCAAAACCACCACCATGTCCCTCACAGGAACTGACCTCCATTCCCTCTGTGGGCAACTCTCCTATCATATTTCGCCTTTCTCACAGAGGGGAGGATACACTGTTGGCAGCCCCCTCCTGACATCAGATTCTTTAACCAATCCACCTCCCCAACATCTAGATCCATCTCCAATCTGGGGTCCTTTGTAGAATAGTCTTTCAGTCACTGTAGGTCTGACAGGTCCCTCCCTGAATCCCTGTGCTGTGGGCCTGGACCCTCCCAGGAACCAGCATACTAGTACTGACACTCTTGGTGGTCCTCTGCACTTCGGGACCCTGTTCACTCAGTCTCTGTTTGCTTTGTCTCCTGTCACCTGCAGGCTGTCGAACTTCTTATGGTCATGCAGATGGAGCCCACCGTGGAGATCCACCTGATTCTATCATGGGACCTATACTTTTTAAATATTATACTCCTACAATGTTTAAATGGGAAAGATTGATATATTTGATATTCTAGAAATGAGAACAACTCTGTATGTTTAAAAGTATTATAAAAAGCTAAATAATAAATGTGAATGTAAGAAAAACATAGTTGCAAATTATGTGCCACAGGGTTAACATTCCTAACACAGTACATTTTTACTTCTATGTAATTAATATAACAAGACAAACTATAACATAAAAGTCACTTAAAATGGAAATGTAGCAAGAAATGAAAAGGAAATCTGATTAGGCCAGTACTGTCACTTACTTGAGCCAGGTGCTTTGCTAAATGTTTTACACTTATCTCTCATTAAATTTTTCTTGTAACAATAGGGATCATTGCTGTTATTTTCATTTAGCAGATGGGGGAAATGGGACTTGTAGGAATTGAGTGCACTGCTTAAGGTCACATAGATAATAAAAGATGCAACCAGAATTTTACTAAGTGAACTTCATTGTACTCTTGGAAGTGAGAAAAGTCTTGCTTTTAGCTATGAAAAATTTCAGTACAGTCTAAATTAAATTTTATTTTCTCACCCAATTCAAACCACCTCCCTTCCCCAATTTCCCCCTCTCTCCTACTATAGCTGGAAGACAGGGACTAATATGGAGGATACGGTACACAGTCTGACCTTGTATTCCCTTTGTTGGTCAATCTCTACGGCGTCTCTGGTCCATGTGAGATAGGAGATTAAGGCAGGGCAAAACTCATTGAGCAAGTGGGCCTGACCTGTCAATCATGGAGGTGCAGAGCTCAGGCGCAGAACACAGTTCCCAAAGGCTGCACTGAGGACCAATCAGAAAGTTCTATCTTGAATTTTTCATTTGCGTCTGGCTTGAAACTGAGCAGGCCCATTGGTAGGACAGCTCGGATCTGATAGCAGACCAAATGACCTTCTGATGAGACAAGTGTCCAAAATGCCTTGTTTGCAAGGGAGAAAAGCAATCTAGGACGAGGAGATATGAGAGACTCCTACCATTTAACCCTGTGGCTGCTGTGAGCCTTTTCTCACTCTGCAGAGAGTATTTCTTTTCTGCCCTAAATCCTCACAGCCTTTTTCACGTGTCTTGTCCAGTTCTTTGCTCGGAACACCAAGAATCTGGAAGGAGTTTCTTTGGGACTTAAAAAGACAGTAACATGTGGGAAACTGCACACTCTTGCCCAGCCGAATGGTGGAAGTATACTTCATTCTCATGGCAACCTTCTGTCTTTACCTTGCTGCAAGGAGTAGCTTCAGCCTGCCTCTGGTCTTAAAATTTCTTAGATCCAGGGCTGGGGATTTAGCTCCGTGGTTCTGCTGCCTGCCTTGCAAGCACAAGGTCCCAAGTTCAATCCCCAGTACCAAAAAAAAAAAAAAAAAAATTAAAAACTTTGAAACAACATTTTTAAAAAAGATTTTTTAGACCCATCAAGCTACAGGAGACCCCTGTCAGGTTCACCCCAAAACTCACTTGCCTTCCACTTCTACAGTAACACGGCAGCAACTTTACACATTCTTCCAGCTGGGCCAAACATCTGGCCAGAGAGTAAAAGCCCAGTATCCCTTTCAGGCTAGTGCCCAAGTCCCCTGAAGGGTTCACTTACTGCTTCCTTTCACTTGTCCCTGTCCCATGTAGGACAGGAAAGGAATGACATGATGCTTTCTCTTCATGTAAAGTGTCCCTGAAGATGCATCTGCCCTAATGAATCTCTGGCCTGCTTCACTGTAGGCTATTGGGAGTGATGGTTACCAAATCAGAAAACTTGGCTGTGTCATAGTAAGCCTGTGCAGATGTTGAGAGCCCTTGTTTGGAAAATGGGGCTACTTCTTACCCATTGTTGCCACTGCTGGATTTATTCTAAAGCCTTAGGCAACAAGAACATCCTAATCCACATCCATAAAAATTTTTTAACATTTATCCTTTATAAAGTAGTTGTTATGGCTTGGGTCTAAATATCCCCCAAAGCCTCATGTAGCCATAGGTGGGGCTTTTTCAGAGGTGGCTGGATTGAGACTGTGTGATGCTGGGATTGATTCATGGTGCAATGCTAGGATCAAGAGCACTGAGATTAAGGGTGTGAGTGCTACCCACCCTTAGTATCCTGGATAAGGCATAAGGGATAGAAAGAGATGTGGTTATTCTTCGGTGATTTGCTGCCTTCTGCCTGCCATGAACTATTTCACCTCTGCAACACCCCTCTGTCGTGCCACCCTGCACTGGAGCCAGCCAGGTATGGACTGAAACCTCTACAAATTGTGAGCTACATAACTTTTCTCCTTTCACTTTAGGTTTCAGAACCCAGCATGGAAACTTTTTTACCAGCCATTCATCAAAGGACTACTATTTAGAATATATAAAGAACTCAAAAAAAAATCAGACTTCCCAAATTTAAAGACCCAATCCAAAAATGGCCATCTGAAATGAATAGACACTTCTCAGATGAAGAAGTACAAACAGCAAATAAATATATGAAAAATGTTCAACATCATCGGTCATTTGGGAAATGCAAATTAAAACAATGCTGAGATTCCATCTTACTCCAGAAAGAATAGCAGCTATCAAAAAATCAGCCATGGGCTGGGGATTTAGCTCAGTGGTTCTGCGCCTGCCTCGAAAGCACAAGGTCCTGAGTTCGATCCCCAGGACCAAAAAAAACAAAAAGGAAAGAAATCAGCCAATAACAAATGCTGGAGGGGTTGTGGAGAAAAAGGAACCCTTTTCCACTGTTGGTGGGAGTGTAGACTCATGCCCACACTATGGAAATCAGTGTGGAGATTTCTCAAAAAACAAAACTAGAGGTTCCATTTGACCCAGCTATTCACCTTCTTGATATCTTCCCAAAAGAATTAAAAGCAACACACCAAAAAAAAAAGAAAAAAAAAACCAACACACCATAGCAATGTATGCACACCCATTTACAGCAGCACTGTTTGTAATAGCAAGATCTTGGAAACAGCCCAAATCCTCATCAACTCACAAGTGGATAAAGAAGATGTGTTTTTTATATATATAATGGAGTATTACTCTGCCATGAAGAAGAATGAGCTTCAGACATTTATAGTTAAATGGATAGACCTTGAGACCATACTCTTAAGTGAAATAAATTAGAAACACAGGTTTAAATACTGTGTCGTTTCTCTGGTATGAGAAACTGAAAATGCAAATAAAGACTAAAATGTATAATAGATATTGGGAAATGGGAAGAAAATGTTCAAATGGGAAGCAGAATAAGGGAGAAGGGAGGGAAAAAGGAAGAGAGGGACTAGAAAAAATAAAAACAGAAGGAAAAAATGGAAACAAAGCTTTTATACATAGGGAGGAGAGGAGGCTTGAAAGGAGGGGGGAAGGAGAAAAAAGAGGCAGGATTTATCACGTACAGGTGCAACTTCCCTATGACGAGTGTTATCATTATACATGCCTAAAATGTACCAATGAATGTTTTGCTATATAAAAAAGGAACATGTTAAAAAAAATCTTTGGGTGTCAGATATTTTGTCTCAGCAACATGAGAAAAGTAACCAAGACAGTTGATAAATATAAAAGATTTCTTAGTTTATTTTAAAATGAATAACTTGGAGAAATACGAATTTGTATAATACTCCCAGGATTTTTTTTTTCTTTTACTAGTGGGGCTTGGTAAACATCACACACAATAGCTAACAAATTTTTGTCTTCCAAAAGACTTGGGTATCCTATCAAATACTAGGTCTACCAGAAGTAAGAAATGAAAACATTTCTAAAAACAGCAGAAGATACAGAGGCAAGCCACATAATATATCAACTAAATTATTTACAAATAAATAGATAAATGTAGAAGACATTCAGTCTTCTTTAACATTTTGATATTTGAACTTAGAACTATGTACTTGTTTATTTCCTATGTTTTATTGACTACAACCTGTAGCCATTGTAATTGATGTGTTGAAGTCTAGGTATATTTTTTAATTAATGGATTTAATTACAAATGCTGGGTAGAGAACTGCTTAGTCAATACTTCAGTAAACTAGAATTAGAAAAAGAAAAGAAGGCCTCCTGACTAACAGAGACGTCATCACAGAACATTTTTATTTTGCTCCCAGACTAAGTAGGAGCAAACAATAAACTAAGAACTGCCTGGTGATGACTCAGCATCCATGCATAAATGTGGAGGGGAAAAAATACCAGCACTATTGCATCAAGGTGGACTAAAATAGAGTTTTAAAGTGTGTGGGATGCTTCTGGATGTGTACTATAATGTGTCAAGTGAATGATGGTAAACTTTCTCCAGACATAGCTGGTTAAATGTGCATGAATCTAAGTGTTTCCTATTCAAAATGTGTGCACCTAGCAGAGCTCCAACCTCACACTAGGACAGATATTTGTGGAAGAAAAGGACAAAAGAAGGGAAGTAGAAATGGAAAAAGGAAAGGGAGGAGGAAAAAATGGAAGGAGGGAAAAAAGGGGAATTGGTTTTTATTACTTCATTTTAACAACTGAGTAAATTGGCTAATGATCTTTTCATGGTCTGGTTAAAATGTTGATTTTAAGGCAAATTGCCCAAATTAAGTAAAAGTAAGAGTTTAATAAAAACTACATTATGGTAATAATTGAAAGGATAACAACACAATATGAGTTTGAAAAAGGAATGTTGAGCATTTAGGTTTTGTGTTATTGTTTTTAACTCTGGTATCATTAATTAACCGTGTAACATTCCAGAATATCAAGGCCTTGATTATTCTCTTAGAAATCCCATTTTCCAAGTCATTTGAATTTAATTACAAATGTATTTAAACACAAAGACACACTAATTAATAGAGAGCAAATGTTCCATGAAGAAGCATTGTATAGACTTTGTGGAGAGAGGAAGGGAAACCGGGGATAAGGAAAACAGGAGGGACAGGAGAGAAAGCGAAGTAAAAAGGATCAAGATATTATATGCATACGGACCAATTCCCCATCACAAATGGATGTATGCATCACAAACATATGCTAATAAAAAAAGAAATGCAATGAATGTTACAGCTGAGTGGGCCAAAAATAGTCCAGGTTCTTGTGTATGACAACGAAAGAATTGCCAAGTGTACACCTCAGAGTATTTTGTAAGTAGCTACATTG